GATGTGCAGGTTAGGGTGGATTGGCCGTGCTAAATTGCCCCATAGTGCCCAGGAATGTGCAGGCTAGATGGATTAGCCATGGGAAATGCAGGGTTTCAAGGATAGGGCAGGGTGCTGAGTCTGGGTGGGAAGCTCTTCTTAGGGTTGGTATGGACTTGTTGGGCCAAAGGGCCTGCTTCCACACTGTAAGGATCCCGTCGCCACCCAACCCCGCTCCTGTCCCCACCGCAGCCCCATAAATACATCCTTTTCCAGTATTTATCTGACATTTCCTGTAGAATCTGCTGCCAGCACCCCTTCAGGCCTCGTGCCCCACATCACAAAAACTCGAATGGTAAAATGACGAGGGTTGAAAGTCACTTTGTAGCTTGCACAGCATTTAGACAAGCAATGTTCTCCCATAGAAATGGTCCATTCGCTGAAGGAAGGCAGATATAATCTAATCATTGATAAACATCAGCAGTCCAAAGAGGTACAGAAGGCTCTCGATGTGACCCTTAAAGGGGGCGACCATAGAACAGCACAGAGGCTATCATTCCACCTGTGTCTGTTCAATACATTCACCGTCTATTCTAATCCCATTTATCTGATCTGGGTTACCATTGTCACCATTCCATTGGTATCTAATATGCTTCACTATCTGCTTTCCAGATTAACTGATTTCTAAATTAAGTCATGGCAAATTCCTCAACTTTTTAATTCTGTCGGAGGGTCAGCACTGAGGGACCGGGCGCTGTCGGAGGGTGCCATGTTTCTGATCAAACATTAAACTGAGACTCCGTCAACCCCCTCAGCGTATGGAGTTGTGGGGGGCTGGGGTGTAAAAGATCCCAGGACTGCTATTAAAGGAAGAGTATGGTGGGAAATTCTCCCCAGGGTACTGAGGGCAATATTTACCCCTCAACCAACATAACAAAATGCAAATGATCTGGGATGTGGGATCTTGCTGTGCGCAAATGTGATGCTGTGGTGAACGATCGAAGATAACGAAACGGTTAATGTGTCAGTGAAGCTGAAGCTCTGCCCGCTCTGATACAGCCCAGCCACTGGGTAGGGAGGGGGTGCTGGTGAGCAGTGTGGTGTTGGCGGTGGGCTATGTGCGATTAGGGGTTGGGAATGGTGGATGATGGTGGTGTGGGGATGGGATTGGTGGGGAGGGTTGGGGGAGAGTGGATGGTGGGGTTAGCTGGGGGGGTGTTCTGGGGTTGGGGCGTGTGTGGGGTTGGGGGGGGGTGGGCACTGTGGGTTTGGGGGTGCACGCTGGGGTTGGGGGCTGGGGGTGGGAGGGGGGTGGGGTGGAGTGGGGTTGGGGGTTGTTTGGGGATGGACAGTGTGTGCTGTATGGGCTGTTTTGGATAGCCCTGGGCCATTCGGGGGCAGAGAGCAGTTAGGCCCCATCTTCTAATGCCCCTCCTGCCCTCTTCCCCCTGGCCCCCCCCAAATGGATGTGACAGCACTGGGAGAGGGGGAGCAGAGGGAGATTTACCAGGACATTGCCCTGTGGGGCTGAAGAGTTTCAGTGATAAACAGAGAGATTGGACAGCCTGGGGTTATTCCCCTTACAGCAGAGGGGCAACATAAGTGAGATGTATAAAATGATGAGGGGCCTTGATAGGGCAGACAGGCAGGAACTCACCCCCTTGACAAAGGGATCAGTGACCAGGGGGCATAGATTGAAGGTTGGGAATAGGAGGTTGAGAAAGGATGTGAGGAAAAGCTTTTAGCCCCCTTCCCTTCCCAGGAGGGTGGTGGGGAATATGGAACTCGCTGCCTGTAAGATTAAGTGGTTTTAAAACAAAAAGCTCATCACATCAAAGATGCACTTGTGATGCCAAGGCTATGGACCAAGTGCTAGGGAAATGGGACTGGAATAGTTAGGTGGCTGTTTTTGACCAGCATGGATTGGACAGGCTGAAGGGTCTCTGTCTGTGCTGTAATGTGACTGATGGCAGCTCTCCAGCCCAGGTCTTATCCCGACTGTGTCCTGTGTTCCAACCTTGCATCAATAAGGTTTCATCTGTTGGCTGTGTGGTTTTCTGAGGTGGGGAGAAAGAGAGGATCCCCCACGGACGGAGGGAGGGAGGGCTCGGACTGAGCTGAGGAGGGATTTGCTCACTCCGCATCAGATAGGGAAGTGGTGGGGTTGGAGAGAGCGACTGTGTAGGCCCCGAGACTGAGACCGCTGAGGGTCGTAGGGAAATCAGCTGTGACCCCGTATTGAATGGTGGGCTAGCCTCTGAGGTGGGGGCGGGGTGTCCAAATGGTCTCCGTCCACTCCTGTCACTCTGATCAGGGCTAGCATGGGGCTCCTGAGGGACTGAATGGCCTGCTCCCAAGCCAAATTCCTCGGGTGGGGGTAAAAGGGGGGGGGGGGGGGGGTTAAGGGGAGGCTAGGGGGTGGTTTAGTCTGTTAATCACAGCCTCTGTACTAGGGTTGGAGGGAGGGAGGAAGCAGAGAGAGAGAGGGAGAGACACAGATAATGTGCCATCCCCACCAATGCAGAGCTGCAGGACACAATGGGTTTGAAACCACCGGCTTTGAGCAGCCAGCTGAATAACCCTGCTTCAGATAGAGCAGCAGCCCAGGGGACGGTCCTCTCTCTCTATCCATCTCGGCGTGTGGAATTCTGCAGTGACAGACGATCATCCCCATGTCAGCAATGAGCCACTGTATGTTCCTCTTTACAAGTCACTGTGCAGGCAACTGAGTACTTCCGAGCTCCTGCTGCATGCTGTTTTTTTTCCTCTCTGAATCTCTCGAACACCCCTGACTGTCAAAGGAAATGAATGGCATTTCAGTGTTTGCTTAATCCCGTTCTCCTGTGTCTTGCTGGAGCAGCTTTTGGAAAAGGTGTGTTTTGGAGGTAGCAGCAGTTGGATGGATGATATACCGGGGAGAGGGGGAGCTGGCTGAGGCGGCGGGTGGGGGGGGGGGAGGTTTGAAACTGCTTGTTTTTAAAGCAAAGGGGCCAGTGTCTGTAAGGGATTAAATGCACCCTGGTATTACCTGTGGGTGTTCATTGTTCCTTTCAGAACAGGGAAGGTTTCTAAATGATGGAAATGGCAGGGTCACGTCTGTGTGCGTGTGTGTGTGAGAGAGAGGCTGTTGTTTAGTCAGCTGAGAAACTGCTCAAATGAACTCTGCAAAATTTGGCCATGGCTACTTTCTCCCCAAATAGTGCAGTACCCCTACAGACAGAGGCACACCCACAGCCCCACACGCACACGCACAGAGGCACACGCGCACACACACGCACAGCCCCACACGCACACGCACAGCCCCACATGCACACGCACAGTCCCACACGCACACGCACAGCCCCACACGCACAGACAGAGGCGCACGC